GGAGCGGGGACAAAAGAAAACCCCTCTTCACACAGGGCCTGCTTCACTGTGGGCTCTTAGCAGAGAGGAGTTTCCTGCCTCTTTCCCTTCCCACTCTCCTGGGTTGGGCTTGACCACGTGCTTGGGCGTGAAAGGCGTGAGTGGGGGAGAAAGGGGGATGAAGCGTCTCTGCCCCTCTGTGACCTTCCTCGGTGACCTTCACACTCCCCAGATTGGCTCCACCTCTGCCCCTCCCCTCCTCCGTGGTCCTGAACACTAAGGGGACAGCGATACTCAACAGGGCACGGATGGCCCTGGCCCTTCCAGGCCTGGCAGGCAAGCCCTCGTCCACCTGGAACAGACCTTCCCGCTTGCTGCTCTGCCTGGCAAAACTCTACTCTTGGGAAGCCTTCCCTGTTCAGTTCTGGGCCCCCATGGCCCCTGAATCACCCCATCATAGGACCCTAAGACTGTATCCCTGCCAAGAGCTGTGCCAGGACCTGGGTCAGGACAGGTGTTCGATGCCATTTTAACAGCCCTGGGAAGGGATGTGGAAGCCCAGCCTGCAGGGGGACCAATTCAGCAGAGTTCTCAGAATCTCCTTCCATGCAGGCCATCCACTGCCATCCTAGGAAGGCTGACTCCCTGCATGAAGAAGCCCATGTGAGGATATTCGGCAGCATTTTTTGATAGCAAAGTCTTAACAACACCCGTCAGAAGGGAGATGGTTAAAGACCAACATAGAGCCAAACCAGGGAATCGCCGCAAGACTGAGTCTGGTTATAGATACCGACATTTCTAAGACATGTTAAGTCAAAAAGGCGAGTTGCAGATGTCTGTATAAGTACCATTTATGTGTGTAAATGCAGAGGAAAAGGTCTGAATAAACCCCACCCTTCTCGTAGCGTTTGAATTTGTTTGAATTTTTGGTAACCTGAATATATACTTGGGTTACTTGTATTTTTAAAAAATGGGATGGATCTATATATGTTGACTTGGAAATAGGCCCAATATATATAGTTAACCTAAATATTAACACACACATGCAACTGTGTATACATAGGAAAAAAACTGGAAGGATCCATAACAAACTTTTAACAGTGGTTACCTCGAGGAGTGGGCTAAAGGAACTTTTCAAGTTTTGTTGTTTGCTTTGACACTGTTTGAATTTATTATGACCAGCAAACTTTAAAATAACAATAAAGCCCATTTTCTAAGGAAGGGTTTGATGAATGAATAACTGAACGATTGAATGGATCAACAAGATGGGTAAATTAAGAGACCCTTTGGCAGGAAGTTGAAGCTCTCACTCCTAGCCTGTCTCCTCCCCAAAGAGGGCTCGTCTAGAGGACTGGAGGGTGGCCCAGACCCTCCCCCTCAGGCCAGGAGAAATGTGGGAAAATTGCCTGCTCATCAGAGGGCTCTCCACCATCTGCGGGTGCAGGACCACCACCCAGCGTTGGCGTTCACAGCCCTCCACGACCCCAGCCCACTGCACCTTCCCAGCATAAGCCCGGTGATCTGGTTTCCGGTAAAACAAGGCACTTTCCAGCCCCTCCCACTTTGCTCACTCTGTGTCCTCTGCCTGGAGGGCCCTTCCCTTTCTGCTCTGCAGAGACAAGGCCTACTTGCCATTAGAAGCTCCCACCATCTCACGGGCCTCCTCTGAACTCACCTGGCCTCACTGCCTGGCTCCTATTGGGCCGAGGTCCTGAATAAGTGTCTGTCTGCCTGCATGTCCATGGAGTATAATTGCTTTACAATGGTGTGTTAGTATAATTGCTTTACAATGGTGTGTTAGTTTCTGCTTTATAACAAACTGAATCAGCTATACATATACGTATATCCCCATACCCCCTCCCTCTTGCATCTCCCTCCCACCCTCCCTATCCCACCCCTCCAGGCGGTCACAAAGCACCGAGCTGATCTCCCTGTGCTATGCGGCTGCTTCCCACTAGCTATCTGTTTTACATTTGGTAGTGTATATATGTCCACGCCACTCTCTCACTTCGTCCCAGGGAAGCTCAGAGTCTTAACCACTGGACCGCCAGGGAAGTCCAAGGCATTATTGTTTAATAGATATGGAGTTTCATTTTGGGAAGATGAAAGAAGGTCTGTGCTGTAGATAGATGGCGATGGTTGCACAACAATGTGAGTGTGCTTAATGCCACCGAACTGTACACTTAAAATGGGTAAAACGGGGACTTCCCCGGCGGTGCAGTGGTTAAGACTCCGTGCTTCCACCGCAGGGGGCATGGGTTTGATCCCTGTTCAGGGAACTAACATCCTACATGGCGCACGGTACGGCCAAGAAAAAAAACCCAAACACAACAACAATAATGCCTCATTCTCCCCTCTCTCCAACCCCTGGCAGCCACTGCTCTCTCCTCTGTCTCTATGAGTCTGACTAACCCTAGGAACCTCATGTAAGTGGCATCATACAGAATTTGTCCTTTTGTGACTGGTTTATTTAACTGAGCAGAAAATCTTCCAGGTTCATCAGTGATGGCATGTACCAGATTTTCCTTCCCTTTTAGGGCTGAATAATATTCCATTGTACTTATATACCACCTTTTATTTATCCATACATCTGCCAGTGGGCACTTGGGTTGCTTCCACCTTTTGGCTATTGGGAATAATGCTGCCATGAACGTGGGTGTACAAATATCTGTTCTAGTCCCTGCTTTTAATTCTTTTGGGTATATATCCGGAAGTGGAATTTCTAGATCATATGGTAATTCTATTTTTAATTTTCTGAGGAACATTACTATTTTTCTTTTTTTTAAATTTTTATTGCAGTAGAGTTGATTTACAATGGTGTGTTAGTTTCTGCTGTACAGCAAAGTGAATCAGTTGTACATATACACGTATCCACTCTTTTTTAGATTCTTTTCCCATATAGGTCATTACAGAGTACTGAGTAGAGTTCCCTGTGTTATACAGTAGGTCCTTATTAGTTATCTATTCCATATATAGTAGTGTGTATATGTCAATCGCAATCTCCCAGTTTATCCCTCCTCACCCCTCTCCCCCTTTGGTAACCATAAGTTTGTTTTCTGCATCTGTGACTCTATTTCTGTTTTGTAAATAAGTTCATTTGTACCATTTTTTTAGATTCCACATATAAGGGAACCTTATTTTTTATTATCTGTTTGAAATGGTTCACAGTAAAACGATTAACGGTATTTAAAATGCTTCATAATGGCAAGAAGTTACTCTGAAAACGCATCGTCTGGAAGAATGCCCTTACATGCGTCTAATACTCTTTAAGAACTCGAAATATTTAGTGGATGTGGCATTGGCTCCCCCAAATCAAAGCCCCTAGAAGGTTAAGCTACACCCACACTGGTATTCAAGCTCCCCTTGCTAGTGCTGCCTTCATGAAGGCACGGGACACACTTCAGGTCAGTGAGATGGGAAAAGAAGTGTGTGTGTGGTGGGGAGTGAACTTCAGGAACTATTTCCTTACTCCTAAGAAAGACACTAGGAGAAGGTGGCCTTGGTCCTGGGCATGGCTGTAACGCTGCCATTCTGTCACCATCTTGAAGGTGGAGCCACAGAGGAGAAGGCAGAGCCGAAGGGTAGGAGGGGCTTAAGTTCCAGTGTTGTGGAGTTTTTGGCTGTTGAGTGGGTAATACAGGTATAGGTACATGCAATACATGTCCTATTATTCAAGCGACTTGAGTGGAAGCTATTAGTTGAGGTTGAAAGCATCTTCACTGATTGAGTAAATAACTTCTAATTTAAAAAATTAGATAAGTAATATATATATATATTCTAATTATAAACACTTAATAATACTGAGAAAATTTTAAAGTTCTCCTTCACTTTCCCCATCCCATTTTCCTTCCCTAGACCTTTTTTACTATATACATATGCAGTCTATGTTTACACACGTTTTTGTTTTAAGAAAATGTTGGCTATACTACATATAGATCATTCTTTACATTGCTTTTTTAACCTAAAAATAGGTTTTGAAAAATGTTCCATACCATTTTCTTAATTTAAAAAAGTGTTGTATAGTATTCCATGGTGTGGGAATACCCACATTTATTTCACTGTTCCTTTATCAGTGAACATTTAGACATGCCTCTTTGGGCACTGGTGAAAATACTTACGAAGAGTGAATTCACTGAAGCAGAATTCCTGAGTTAATGGATAAGTGCATTTTAAGTTTTGATAGATGTCATCTTGCCCAGAGAATGCTTGTGCCAATGTAGGTGCCTAATGCAACAAAGGGGCAGCCCCCGTGCCCAAGGTTCACCCTCCCCCCGCCCACACACACAGCTGCCGGCCTCTTCCTACCCTCTCTCCTCCAGCTGCCACCCCAGTGGCAACAGCAAGCCTTTCTCCCAGAAGGAAGCCCTGTGTGTACGTGGGAAAAATGACAGAAATGAGGGGTGGGGACACTGGCCCTGCCTTCCAGGAACTTCTTTTCTCTCATGGGAGAAGGAAGCAACACTGAAGGCAGTTAGTGACTCAACAGGGATGATATTAAAAATATTTAATACCCCCTATTAGGAACACAAATCAGGAGGAGGCCTAGCCTTAGTGCCTCCAGATGGGAGGCTACAGGCCCTCTTCTCAGCCAGACATTAACCCTTTAGTTGTTAGATCTATGAAGGTCTGGGGGAATCCCAAGGAAGGAGCTGATAAGAGTGCAGACAGGGTGGCCACAGCAGTGCATATGGGCTGACGTCCCTGTGGCATTCCAAGGGGTCATAGGGGATCTGAGGAGGCGCATGTCCTGGCTACTATGGGACTCTGAGAGAGCTTCTGGGAGGAAGATTTTCTTGCAGAATTTGGGTTGGGAGGAGAAGCAAGCAGGCCAGGAATCAGCTGGGTCAAGGCAAGCCCTGACCCTCTACTTCCTTTCTCTGTTTAAGTGTCCTCCTTGAGTCCCCTCCTCTTCCTAATCTGCCCAGAGAAATATACATTGATCTGGGGCAAATTTACTCAGTTTGAAAGAAACAGTGAACTGGTCATTTTTATAATATAAAAAGGCTCCATCAAATGCTCCCTGACCTCAATTTTCTTTATTTTGTGCATTAGAGAGAGGCAAGATTTCAAACGTACCTACTTTTCCTCCATATTGGATTGAAAGGGCCAGAGAGCTGACTTCAGACCATGAGCCACTCCCTGGTGGACACACACATGGTCTTCTTTTTTTTTTTCATGGTCTTCTACCAAAAGGGCATTTTACCCCGGACCCCCTGAGCTCCTTGGAGGAGCCCTGCCTGGTGCCATGCTGTTGGACGATCCTTGAAGCCGAGGCACTAAGAGACCCTGCATCAGGCCTCAAGAACCCGGATGAGGATCTGTCGTCCCTCATAGACAGATCCGGGGACACTGAGACCCCGGAAGGGAGAGCTGCCTGAGGTCAAACAAGTATACAGGAGCAGAGGCAAAACCAGGGCTGAGCGCTGTGTCGGGGTGGGGGTGGAGGTGGGGCATCAGTGGCCTGATGGGAGGAGCGTCTAAGATGGGGGCGCAGGAGGTTGCGTAGCTCACCGCAAACCTGCAGAGTGGGTGGAGAAGAATCCAGGGGCCCACAGCCAACTGTCCCTACTTGCAAAACCCAGGACCCAGGAACGTTTAATCCGTTTAAAGAGAAACACGGGAGACTGCCCAAGAGGCCAAGACGCCTCAGGAGGCTTTCTGGTTCCTAGTTCCGGCCAACCGGGCGGGCCTTGTCTTCTGCCTGGGGAGGGCGGGTGGGGAAGACGCCATCTTTGGTCTCCAGGTCCAAGGTCGTTTGGCACCATCTCTCCCGCCTACCAGATTGCCGGCAGGGCTCTGCCGGTTCTTCCCCTTTTCTTTTCCTGCAGTGGAAGCATGGAGTCTTAACCACTGGACCGCCAGGGAAGTCTCCCCCCCCTTTTCTTTCGGGGCCTTTTGCAGTACACCCGCAGGTCTTCCATAGTCTTTTTGCACCGAGGTTCCAGATTGGTGATGGAAAGACTGAGGTCTGGGGCCTCTGCGGGAATCATGAAGGAGCAGAAACCTCAGTGGTGCTTCTCAGACCTGCAGGCCGGAGATCACCTGGACACAAAGCCATTTATTTTTCCTTTTAGCTCGGAGGATGAAGAGAGAGGGCACTGTTTTCTACAGAGGCACCGAAAAGTCCTTTCTTAATTCCCCACCTTGCCTCGGCAGGCGGAGGTGACCGGAGATTCTTAAATTTTTTAACAGCCCCTCCTGAGCGTGTCCAGCTGTTTAAAGTAAGGCCCCGCGTTCCCAATACTGGCAGAAGGCGAGCGCATGTGGGAACCTGTGCTGGGGGGGGGGGGGGGGGGGGCGCTGACAGCCCCATCCGCAGCCAGGGAAGGGTCCATCCGTTTAAGGCCCCATCACCTCGGGGTCCCGCACAGCCTCGAAGTGTTCCTGCCCGGATCTGGGAGTCCCACGCACCTGGAGGGCGCTCGGTGTCCACTCCCAGAGGGCGCTGCTGACCGTCGCCCACAGTCGACAACCAACTGCCGCCCCTCCCGCCACTCTCCCAGGCAGAGCCTCAATACCCTGGGCCGGGGCGCAAAGGAGTGCGCTCGGCCCCCACCACCCGGGAACCTAGGAGCAGCTGAGCTGCAACGCCGGAACCACGGCCAGCTGGGAAGGTGGCTCCGGAGGTAGGCGAGGCTCTGCCCACGCACCGCAGGCCGGGGGCGGGGCGATCCTGAGGGGCCGGGCCACTCAGGGGGCGTGGTCTTAGGGGGTGGGGACTGGGGCTGGCCCCAGGACCTGGAGAGCTGGGGGTGGGGGGCTAGTTTTTGCAACGGCTAAGGGCCTGCGGCTTTATTATAAGGCGGAGCTCGGCGGGAGAGGTGCAGGCGGGAGCCGAGCTGAGAGGGGAGGAATCCAGCCGTAGAAAGCGGATTGCAGCCGGCGGACCCCGCAGCCCTCGCCTAGGACAGCCAGCCGCGCGCTGGACATCGCTCGAAGGAGCTGCGCGCAGCGCAACCCGCGGAGCCGACCCGGAGCCCCGTGCAGTCTGGGCAGCGCAGCGCAGCCCTGACCCGCGCAGCTCGCCGCGCTCCAGCCGCCGGTCCGGGCAGCATGAAGCGCCCGGCGCTCTGGCTGTGGCTCTGCGCGCTGGCGCTGCGCCTGCAGCCGGCCCTCCCGGTGAGTGTGGCCCGGGGCCGGGCTGGGAGGCGGCGGGAAGCCGGGGTTGGCAGAGCCGCCGATGTCGGCGGCTGCACGTGGAGGGGGAGGGGAAGCGGGGACTTCCCTTCTTCCCGCGCTAGCCCGGCGGGCCCCGGTACCCGGAGCCCCGAAATCAGGGCTCCCGCCCCAATTACCTCCGCCGTCGGGGGGCGCCGCACGGGTTCCGCCGCTCGGGGCGGAGACCCGGGGCCCGCGGCGCCCAGCGGAGCGGAACCTGCGCCGGGGCTCCGCGCTCAATTAGGTAAAACGGTTCCACAGGCGAAGGAGCCCGCCAGCCTGCGGCGGCGCCTGGGGTCGCCGGCTCCCACCCGGTCACCCCGGGCGCCGCGGCGCCGGCTCCCCCGCCTGTGACCCGGGAGGGTGCGGTGATCGCGGCAACTACACCCCGTCCGCGGACCCTAATTCAAACCAGACTCGCCGAGCCCCGGCTCCCGGCCCCTCGGGCGGAGGCAAGTTTGGGCGCAGCGGTGTCGGCGCTGGAGCAGGCGGGCGTGTTCGCTAAGGAGCCCCAGCCAGGGCTGCGAGGGGGACTGGGGCGGGCGGGCGGAGGCGGGGTCCTCGGCTGTCCGTTGGCTGCCCGAGACGAGCCGGGCCGAGCTGGTAGAAGGAGGTTCCGGGAAGTTGGCCCCGGAATGCTAGAGACCCGCAAGAACCCAACTTCTGGGCTGCTGAAGTTGTGCTGCCCGGGGAGGGACGCGAGCCGGCGCTGGGCACCGCCGCGGCGCGCGGGCAGCTTCCCCGAGAGTGGACCCGCGAATGGCTCTTCCCCTCCCCCGGCCTGGCTTTGTGCTGGAGCCGCGCCGAGGGAAGGCGGGTCCCTTGGCCCGCCCAGTGGAGCTGGAGGAAAAGGGGGACAAATGTGGAGCCCGAGGCTGGGGGGGAGGCCTTTGGGTAGGACTCCAGCATCCACCTTTGGCGAGGAGTGAGTCCCCTCTGAAGAGGGACCTGGCCGACAAAGAGCATCCCGAGGGTCCCCAGAAAGTGATCTCCCGCCTCAGCCGCAGTCCGCTGGCCCGCCTTCCCCAAAGGGGGCGCTTTGTTCTCGGACCCTGTAACCCTTTCCTGGGAACCGCCCCGCAGCGCCGTCCCTAATGTGGGTTGGGACCTGGGCTGCCGCCAGGTGTCAGCCCTGGCCGCCGGGTGGTCATGTCCATCCCCCCCCCCAGTCCCCACACCCATTGCTAGAGTCCCGGGGTCCTCCGCGCGGGCCGGGTCGGCCATCCCCCGGGATGAAGAAGGGAGGTGCGGACCGAGGGGCTCTTCCCGTGCCGGAAGTGGCAGTCTCTGGCCTGCACATCTGGACGGCTCGACTTCCCTAGTTCTGGCAAAAGGAGGCACGTGGGAGGGGAAGGAGCGGCTGCCGGGCGTGGGTACTCCGGTCCTCCACTTACAATGTATTATCTGGACAAGTCCCTCAGCAACGCCAACCCGCTGAAAGCGGGTCCCTCCATAATAATAGTAGCTCCCAATTATTGAGAGCCTTGCGGTATTTTGCAGGGTCTGGCTCAGGTGAGGTGCTTTTCAGGCTGATCTGTGAAGTGCCCTCCTTGCTTCCCAGGTGACTGTTATGCTTGGAAACATTTTGGAGTCCAGGAAGGGGTCCCTAATGCCGCTTGAATTGCTGATGAGTTGGGAGTGTTCATGTGGGGTGCCCTATCTGGGGGAGCCATGGGGAAGGACAGGATTTCTGAGCTGGGTCTCCATAGCACGCCTGGCTTTTAGGTCCAAGAAGTTGGCATCTGGCTTCCCCTTCACTCTTGAAGAGTATGGCTTCTGTGGCATTCAGACTGCACCTTGAACCAATAGTTAGTACTCTGGAGAAGAGGGTGAAGGTGTTTGGCTTACCTCCCTGGCCCACCTGGCCTTTCCTGGCTGCCCCACGCTCTCCAGGCACAAGATGGGGCCTTAGCAGCACTCCGCCTATTTCCAGCCAGAATCAGGAGTGCTGGTGGTGGTTCCTTTGCTTGCCTTAGGTGAGGCTGGCATTCCTGAGCGGGGATCCCAGAGCACCTTTTAACACGGGGAGGCAGGTGGGGTTAGAAATTTTCTGTGGGCCACGTTTCCCAGACTTTTTCTGTGTGCTGGGAAGAAGCAGATGCTGCATGTTTTTTTTCTACCCTAGAAAATGTGATACATTATGGAAAGGCAGGGCAGTTGAGTTTCAAGGGGGAAACGAGGAAGGGAGGGAGGCTCATTAGAGCTGTGGTGGTAGGAGGGCTTCCTGGAGGGGGTGTTTGAGCTGAGCCTGAAAGCACCAAGCTTTGGGGTCAGACACTGGCTCAGAACTTAGGTTTTTGTTTGTTTGATTGTTTGTTTATTAAGTTTAGTTTGTTTTCTCTTTCCCAGCCCTGTCCTCTCCCTTTTATAGTGGCTGTCCATATTTGGTTCAAAGTGGGGGCACAAAGTACCTTCCCAGAGCCCTCTTACTAAAAGAAATAAGGCAGTGGGATTTGCTGAAATAGGAGGTGTCCACTGGTTGCAGAAATCTGGCTTCTCCCAGGGTTCACTTTGGCCCCAGTGGGAAGCAGGTCAGAATCCCCTGGGGATCACTGAGGTAGGGTATGATCCTGGGCGCCTGACTTTGGACAAGGGAAGGCTGCTAGGGCAGGAGGTTGCTCAAAACCACTCCCAAGAGACGAGAACAGGTTTGTCTAAAAAGGTTTCCGCATGGTTGTGTGTGTGTGAGATTCCCATGGTCTTTTGTTTCTGCCATGCAAGAAAAATTGCTTGTTCTGGAAAGTTATTTGCTGTTTCCTCTCTTTCTCTCTTCTCTTTCTTGAAAGGCAGAAAATCCCTTTTTGCCTTAATTATGGGGGCTAGTAGAGACATTTCCCGACGGCCTGGCGGAGTGGGTGGGGCTGGGGGAGGCATTAACTTCCTCTGCCTGGGCTCCGAGCCTTCTGGAGGTGATGTCACTCCTGGCTTGAGCTCCACAGGGAGGGTGGGGCTGGTTTAAGTCTCTACCTGTGGCTCATAGTGGGTTCCAATAAAACCTCATTAACCCAGATTCGTGGGGAGAGAAATAAGAAAGGGAGGGAGAGGAGCCTGGAAAGAATTAATGAAAAGCTTGAATTTTGGAGTAGTTTATAGAGGAATCTTTTTTATTGCCGCAGAATTTTGGATTCTGAAGTCTCTTGAGAATGAGGTATCCTTGGTATCCAGGTTTTTTCAGAAAGTTAAGAATCCTTATTACCCTCAAAAATATTCTTACTTTGGGCGGGACTCCGAAATATTTATTTCCCTTCCTTTATTAACGAAAGACTACTAAGCATAGTTAAATCTCTGGATGCCAGGGTCCTCATAGCTGTCACCATGTTAGGTTATGGCGTTTGTCTCCTGGGTTTATTGAGCTCTGAAGAGCACTTTGCCTCTGGCCTGGTGCCCTTCTGTTGGTGCACTTGGGATTCTGGTTTGCGTTTTTTCCTCTTCCATCCCTGTCTGATAGCAGCCATAAGTGACATTTGTGGGCCTGAGTATAGCAAGCGGCTTTTCAGTTCACTTCTAACTGGCACTTTTCTCCAGCAGTACTAAGAAGCTAGTCAGATTTGTTAGAATTATTTCTAAGACAAGAGTTTTCAGCGCTGAGTAAGGGTCTCACCTGTGAGCAATGACCTCTGTGGTGTCCTGATAGTACCTAGAATAACAGAGGCTGTCAAGGGAGGTGCTTATGGGCGGGCTCCCTAGGGGAACAGATGACCCCATGTTCCAAGTTCTTCCACCTGGCTGAAGTTGTAAATGACTTGTCAGTCATGGGTAGCCTGGACCCAGTAAGGCTAACTCCATCTAAATCCTGGTTGGCAAGGGCCCTCATTCCTTTTTTTTTTTTTTAATTAATTTAATTTCTTTATTTTTGGCTGCGTTGGGTCTGTGTTGCTGCGCGTGGGCTTTCTCTAGTTGTGGCGAGCGGTAGCTACTCTTCGTTGCAGTGCGCGGGCTTCTCATTGCAGTGGCTTCTCTTGTTGTGGAACACGGGCTCTAGGCACGCAGGCTTCAGTAGTTGTGGCATGTGGGCTCAGTAGTTGTGGCTCGTGGGCTTTAGAGCGCAGGCTCAGTAGTTGTGGCACACGGGCTTAGTTGCTCCACGGCATGTGGGATCTTCCCGGACCCGGGCTCGAACCTGTGTCCCCTGCATTGGCAGGCGGATTCTCAACCACTGCGAAGGGCCCTCTTTCTTAGCTTGGGCCCTGTCTCTATTTTTCACACTGTGTTTTATTCGGGTGGCAGTGCACCCATACTGTTTGGCTGGCCAGAAACAGCTTTGGGTGAGGTAGAGCCCCCGGTATTGGGTCTCTGCTCCGCCACTAATGTACCACGTAGTCTCAGGCGAGTCACTTCACAGCCAAGTCTTGATGTCCTGTGTAAAGAGAACATCATACCTGTTCTCCTCGTCCTGATTCTTTCATTTGCGTATTCATTTCATAATGAAGGTGTGAAAGTGTTTGGTAATGAAAACGCCAGAGGAAAGTTAGCTGTTAATAGAATTAGGATCACCTTTAACTGAGTGCCTGCTGTTGGGTGCTCGATGCTTTTCCTGCATCCCTATTTCATATTTACCCCAAACCTTTACCATGTATGTCATTGTACCCATTTTGTGGATGAGGCCTGCAGAGGTGAGCCCCTACAAGGGGCCGACGTGGGAGAACCAGGATTTGTACGTACGTGTGTGCATATGTGTGTGGCGTGAAGAAATTGAAGGACTGGCAAGTCTCCCCCACAAACCCAGCATAGGAGACTGGCTGAAACCAGCAAGGTTTGCCCTTGTGCTTGTCCCCAGGGCAACAACCAGCCTGCACTGACTTTCATCATGGACACTGGGGAGACATTTGTGGAATTAGTAGATCTTTTTTTAAGCCTCGAAGCCGGGCACCGTGGCCCCAGTCGGGCGACCAGAACCCAGGACTCGTGGCTCCTGTGCTGGGCTCACCTCCCGGCCCCTTCAATGCCAGGTCCCGCCGCCG